TACTCATTGCTTCAAACACACATAAATTCCTACAAAATAGATACAAAACTATCAAATGATATATTATGTACACGAAAATGCAGATATGTACAAACTAAACGTATTTACAAACAAAGTTGAGATTTATTCACAAAATATTAACAAAAGAACCGGTAAGTGCAACAAAACTTATATACAAAAATAACTACAACTTTCACTTATCAAACTCTCTCCAACTTGAAACATTGTTTGTCCTCAAACAAAGTCAAATAAAATCAAAGAGGCAAAAATGATCAACCAAAGAATCATGAATCAACAAGTTTTGAAAATTGAAAACAAATGTATGGTTCAAACAAAAACACACAAGCAAAGTAAATATTTACCACAATCCTACAACAACAACATGTAAACGAAATGAATCCCAAGTACAAAATTTTTACTAAACATTCTAAAACAAAACAAGTTTAATCATGAATCACACCTAGTAAAAATTCATCGGTAAAGAAAGAACACACAGAGGTGGAGAACATTGACACTCACCCACAATCTTGCAAATAATAAACTAAATTGCATTCATCTAAAAATTCACATTGAACATGCAAAGGCAATAATCACAAGGGATTTTTAAAGTTGTAATATGGCTTGGTTAATAAACAAGGGGTAATTCCTAAAGCTAATCAAAAGAAAAACTTGCATAAACCTAAGGAAGTGATTAATTTACATATCATTTACATAACTAAGCATAATTTACAACACATACACATTTCCTCAAGCTAATAAAAGTAAGCTCTTTGAAAAACATAATTAACACAACAAAACAACTGGATGAAAGTGAATAAACAAGTTGAAAAGTGAAGATTTGAGATATTAAAATAGGTCTGATTTCAACTTGTTTAAACAACAATCAACACACTAACTAAACTAGCAATAAGAAAAATAATAAAACATGCTTGTTTTACGTCGTAAGCTCAACGTTTGTTATTTAAAAACGTTTCACCTTGCTTTGGATGGGTCAAATGCTTTCGCTCCTGCCTTTGCTCTCATCTCTTCAAACTCTAATACTTTTGGCAAACGTGAAGAGAAACAAATATATACACTATATTCACAAGTATGCAAAACATGTAAAATTCACAAATATGATAAACATATACAAGTATCAATATAAATAAGTTTATATTTACACATTATAGATAATATGGAAATTATGTGCAAAGCTCAAAAACAAATAAAATATTGCAATGCGATCCAATAAAAACACCAATCCTCGGCAATAACGCCATTTTGCTGAAGCGGTAATGCAACAGGAAAAAGTAAGTATTTAGGGTGATATAGGTTATATCGTATCGTCTCCACAAGGATAAGTGCTACTGCATTTTCGTTTGACAAATCTCTCATTAATGAGTTTGGGTTAAAATGAGTTTAAAGTAATTGCGAGAATTAAAAGTTATTAACAAGAAAAGAATTCATTCTTCGGAGAAGAGACTTATCAAGCATGCATATAATCCACTCCCCACAAACTTAAACCTATCGGCCAGTTATACTCAACCTACAATACTCATCAATGTCATCACATATCAAACACAACACCCAATGTATCATATCGGAGGCGAACTCTCAACCAACCTCAATAACACAGAAGTCAATCGTGCTACTCGCGTCAATGATCTCTTAGTGTGGCATAACCAACACAAAGGCATTAATCACATACACCCAAGTGAATAATGGCTTTAAATTTATCTCTAGAATCTAGACATTATTAGATAATCACCCTAGATAAAAATTCGAGCAGTATATGTCTATAACAACCCAAATCACAAAGCATAGAGCAAAAATCAAGGATAACAATCGACAAAGATTTATAAAGAAAGCTTTATATAACGCCATGAGCGATAAATATACATGAGTTCAAAGTAAATACATATACAAAACCTAACAAATGAAGAATACATAAAGAATAAGAGAAATGAACCACAAATCTCTCAGTTTGTCAGTGCCGATCAATGAGTAATCCACTTAGAATCATCTGCATGTAAGCTCCATAGTTGTTTTCTAAGCTAATCTACCAAAAAAATGAGGTTGATGGAGTTGGGTGAACAAAACCTCCTCCAAAAACCATAACCCTAACAAATGAAATGAAAATTAAATATATACAAAAATCTGTCTAGACACCATCTTTCGACGAACCAAATGCATCACCCGACGACAACTTTTATTCCCTTGGCCCAGCCTGCGCCATGCACACAACTGACCACAAAATATCTAACTTTTCTCGGTGAAGGGAAGCTTCACCAGGTAAACTTATTCTTTCTCACCCACCGAGTTATTGACAAGCTCAAGTCAGTAGCCACTAAAAAGTTTTCCTTTCCGATCGCCCCACGCTCGCATGACGAGCACAACATGACTGCCCCTCGCCCAGGCTTTTCCCGACGAGGCACATCAAAACAACAACTTTTATTTCTTTATTTCTTTGACTTCCTTTCTTTGCCTTGTTCCTTTATTGCTTCAAATGCATCTTGGAACATCTTTTGGCCTTTATTACTCATTATTTCAAACACACATAAATTCCTACAAAATAGATACAAAACTATCTAATGATACATTATGTAAATGCAAACGCACATATACATAAACTAAAGGTATTTATAAACAAAGTTGGGATTTATTCACAAAATATTAACAAAATAACCGATAACTACAATAAAACTTATATACAAAAATAACTACAACTTGTACTTATCTGCAGGACACCATATATGGGTCATTGAAATCGCCGGGTTTTTTGAAGCTTTTAAGTCTAGGGAGTTTTGGTTTAAGTTTATTTTGTGTTATGTATTTATGTCATGCATTTTCTATTTTTGAATCATTTTGTACTTTATGTTTCTTTCATGGTTTGCTTCTTTGGTATATGTATTAACAAATTTTATTATTTCGTCGAAATGAAACAATGGTTTCTGCTTATGATTATGCTTATTATGATAATATGTAACAACCTTTGCTATAATGTTTTTTTGGTATTGTCGTGCTATTCATATTTAAATCTTTGTGTCACTCCATGTATATGGGTATATGTGAGTGCATATTCTTGCTTTTGTAAAATGCCTATATGTAATATTCGTATTTGCGTGAACAATGATACTTATTTTTTTGCGTTGTCTCTTTTTGATGTTGTCAAAGGGGGAGAAGCATATGCAAGATGAAGTTGGGATGCACATATTCAGGGAGAGCCTTCATGAAGACATGAAATGCATCATCGCAAGTTTTGCCATCATAAAAAAGGGGGAGTATGTGAGTGCACTTGCCTGTTAGATGTTTTGCATGATGTTAAAACTAAGATAATCTTAGCATTTTTGCATATTGAACGATATCTTTGAGTCATTCTACGTACCTTTACATTTGGGACTTAGAACACATTTAAAACATATTTGGAAAAGGTATCATGCATTAAAAATGAGTTTTTACATGAAAAACAGGTCTATGTGTTGACACATACGATGAATGAGTCGACACATGTGGACCAATAATAAATAATGTAGCCATGTAACTATGTGTCGGCACATCCATCGTTTTAGGTCGACACATGCTAAAAAATTCCATCTATGTGTCGACACATACGACCTTCAGGTTGACACATGTACCTCATTTTTAAAGCTTGTAGCTTCTGTTTATTTGTGTCGTCACATGACCTTGAACAGATCGACGCGTGTCATTACATGTATCGACACATGACTTATATGTGTCGAAACATACTATACCTTTTCTGAAAATTGTATTTCTTTTCAATTTCCAAGTCTCCCATTTTTCCTCCAACTTGCACACATATAAATACTTCATACATGCATCATTTTCAACTTGATGAAACTATAAACACATACAAAAATGACTCATCATCTTAAACCTCTCATATATGCATACACACAAATAAATTACACATAATCATTCTTTGTTTAGGTGCTATTTAGACTTGTGTTGATAACTTTTAATTTAGATTGGTGTAACCTAAGATCAGGTTGATAATTTTTGGGTGTTTCATTGGGAAAAATCTTAGGGTTTGTCCTCAAAGATCATATTGTTGATTTGGGGGTTTACATAAGATTTCACTAATATTGAATTTGATCGAGTGAAAGCTTTAAAGAACAGGGGTTCTTGCAAAGGAGTGACGTGAGACAGTGAATCGTTTGGAAATCTTGGGACACGGTAATACGCAATTGGATTCGATCTAGTGAAAGCTTTGAAGAACGGTGATTTTTGTAAAGGAGTAGCGTGAGACGGTGAATCAGTTGGTGTTAAAGAAGTACTTGGTCAAGCTCAAGATAAAGTGAAGAGAAAGGGTTAGAATCAACATTAAATATTGGGTTTATAGGATTGTATTGCTACATTTCTCTTGTAATCAACTTTTTGCAAAGTAAGAATTTGATATCGCAATTCCAAACAGAATTGAGGGCAGACGTAGCCATAATGATGACGATTGATAAGCTGCCTAAATAAATTCTCGTGTCATCTCTCCCTCTCTCATTTATTTCTATATATTTTTTATAGAAAATTGTTAAATTCATTGATTGCGTAATTGATACGTATGGATAAATCATTTGATTACTATACTTGAAATTACTTTTTCGATTATATTATAATTAATTAGATTATAAGTGAGATTTCATATCCACAAAATGATTTTCCAAACAAATAATATTTAAGAAACAAAGATAATTAAAACATCAAATTATGGAAACGTTAATGAGGAAATGGAGAATGGGTCAAAGTCAAAGAAGAAGATTTTTATATGATCATAAACCAAAGACCCAAAATAATAGAAATAGAATGGACATAAAAAAATGGAAAAAGAAAAAAAAGACAAATGAGAAAGGAAGAAGTCAAGGAGTAAAATAATGTGATACAAGTTTTGTGTAATGTGTGTGAGCTGTTCCCGTCCCGTAAGCACAAGAAGCGCTTGAACAAACAACCTTCCTTCTCTTGACTCTCTTTTTCCAATATTCATTCATTCATTCATCTCGATCGATCTATCGATGAAGAGTTCTCTGAAAAAGCTACGAGGTCTAGCACTTCACAAACATGACTCCAACAACAACAACAACAACAAAACCATTCTTCCTCTCGGCCAACGCGACGAACTCGCTCAAGCCACAAGAGTAAGAACAAACTTTCACTTCTTCTTCTTCTTCTTCACTTTTTAGGGTTTCTTAATTTCATCTATTTCAATTTTCCAGGAGATGCAAGACATGAGAGACTGCTATGATACCTTACTCTCCGCCGCTGCTGCAACCGCCAGCAGTGCTTACGGTATTTTATTGCTATTTGCGAATTTGTTAATCCAATTAGGTAATGTAATTATGCTCATGACAATTTTGTATAGAATTCGCTGAGTCGTTGCGAGATATGGGCTCTTGTTTGCTCGAGAAAACCGCTTTCAATGATCATGAAGAAGAAACCGGTATCTATCACTTTATCCACCTTTGCAAATTTCTAGAAACTCTCAACCCTAGGATTGCTCTCCAACCTATTCTTTTCTATTTCTGCAGGAAAGGTTCTACTTATGCTTGGTAAAATCCAGTTTAAGCTTCAGAAACTAATTGATAACTATGTAATTCCCACTTCACTTTCTCTCTTCTCGCTTTTTTTGTTTTCTCTGCTTTTCATTACTTTTCTTTTTCCATTTCAGCGTTCACATATAATACAGACAATTACAGTTCCTTCTGAGTCTCTTTTGAATGAACTTCGAATTGTTGAGGTCAGTTTTCTAACTTGTTATCACCATCACATTCCTTTAATTTTAGATTCAATTCTGTTATCAAACTATACTTTCTCTATTTATGGAATGGAGCGGAGTGGAATAGTATAGAATGAGGTTCCATTGTTTGGATCAATTAAAATCGGATGGAGCAGAGCGGAATGGAGTGATATGGATTCCATTCCATTGCAATTTGGGCGGAATGAAGAATTTGCCCTGTGCTGTCCTAAAATACCCAAACTATGGAATGTAATCTTGATTCCACTCCATTGCGTTCTGCTACTTTCCATTCCACCCTGTTCATATGATGATATCCAGACATTAGCGTTGTCAAATAGCAGTACTATAGCATAGCTGAATTTGAACAGATCGCTATTATTATGCGACAACGGATGTAGCCGCGCTATATCACATGTAGCCTAGCGGAATTTGAACAAACCGTTATTTTTTGCGATCTGGATTGACAGTATTGTGTAAATTAGACTGTTGCTGAGACATCCTGATTATATCATTATAAGAAACCTGAAGCTTGAGGTCTCAAATTATGGCTTGAAGTTGAAGCTGCTGGCTTCAATTTGATAAATCGATGAAGTGATGAACGATAGATCAGTAAAGGATTTAATGAAGACATGAGAACATTTTAATTGACACAAATGAAGTTTTTCAAATATAGGGGGCTTCTAGCATCTTGAAGGCCTCGTTAAGTTTTTATAAAATATAAAACTACAAGTCTTTTGTTATTGCTATTTCCTAATAATGCAATTAGTTTAATTCTGCAATTTAGGCAGTGGGGGTAAATGTGGTTATTCAATTTACTATTTCTTTCTTTGTTCTTCTCTGTGGAAGATCTTTGTAATTTTGATCAGATTTTTCTTTTTTTGTCTTACTACTGGAGCAGGAGATGAAGCGACAATGTGATGAAAAAAGGTTTGATAGGTTCTGTTGGATCTAATTATTTTCTTTAAATGTGATACATGTCTTATCATTTTGTAATATGATATGCAGAGATGTTTATGAGTATATGGTAACAAAATACAGAGAAAGAGGTAGGTCTAAAGGTGGCAAAGGAGAAACTTTTACATTGCAGCAGTTGCAAAGTGCTCGCGATGAATATGATGAGGAGGCTACATTGTTTGTTTTCCGATTGAAATCCCTGAAGCAAGGGCAATCACGTAGTCTTCTAACACAGGCAGCACGCCACAATGCTGCTCAGGTTCGTCTTATCCCCTATTTCCTTAGAACTGTGAGTTCACATTTATAATTTTTTATGTTGATATCATGCATTCTATTACACCCCAAAACAGACATGTTTCTTCAAGAAAGCAGCCAAGTCTCTTGAGACAGTAGAACCACATGTGAAGTCTGTTACCGAACAGCAACACATTGACTACCACTTCAGTGGTCTGGAAGAGGAGGACGGGGATGAAGGCGATGATGAAGAAGACGACGATAATGGTTATGATGAGAATGATGATGGGGAACTGAGTTTTGACTATGGACATAATGAACAGGAGCAAGATGTTTCTACATCACAAAATTCTATGGAGGTACCTTAAATAAACATGAATTTGTAATTTTTTTCCTCCTCCTGTGTTTCTTAAACATAGCTATAAATGGGTGCCAAATGAAGATTTTAATTTTGTAAAACACTCAATGTAACTTAAATTGCTCTCATTCTGATTTTAATTTTGTAAATGGGTGCCAAATGAAGATTTTAATTTTGTAAAACACTCAATGTAACTTAAATTGCTCTCATTCTGATTTTTATGCGGCTTAACTATGTTGGCTTCTCTGCAGCTGGACCAGGTGGAACTTACACTTCCCAGAGGTTCATCAGCTGAAGCTGCTAAGGTAAATAGTTACGTTTCAATTATCTTAAGTATTACACTTGAAGTGCTAGTTCAGTGGTAAGAGCTTAACCTTATACCCTCAAGGTTCTAAGTTTGAATCCCCTCGGAGAAAGTTGTAAAATATGGCTATTAGTGCCTTTGTAATTAATCAATAAAAATAATACTTTGAAAAGTATATATAATGAGTCTATGTTGTTCTAATTGCAGGAAAACTTAGAGCTTCAAAAGAATTTGTTTTCATTTAGGGTTAGGACAGGGAGCCAATCTGCCCCACTTTTTCCCGATAATAAACCGGATCCCAGTGAAAAATTGAGACAGATGCGTCCATCTTTATCACGAAAATTCAATTCATATGTGCTACCCACTCCAAAGAGTTCAAATAACCCAAAGCCTTCCAAAATGCAGACAAATTTAAATGAACCTACAAAGAATTTGTGGTATTCATCCCCGTTGGAACAAAAGAAACCTAAAAAAGATATCGGAGAAGAACAATCTGGTCCTACTATCAGAAATGCACAATCTGCACTAAGGGAAAGCAACAACAATACTGCTTTCTCAAGACTGCCGCTTCCTTTGGTAGACAGTCCTGTATCCTTAAATCATGATAACTTTTCTGCTTACTCTAAAAAGATTAAAAGACATGCCTTTTCTGGCCCATTGACAAGTAATCCTTGGCCTACCAGACCTGTCTCAATGGAAAGTGTTCAGTTCTCTGGACCTCTTTTAGCTACTCGAATCCCGCAGCCTCCATCATCATCCCCCAAAGTATCTCCTAGTGCTTCTCCTACTATTACGTCTTCACCTAAAATAAGCGAGCTTCATGAACTTCCAAGGCCTCCAATCAATTTTCCGGCCAACTCAAGGCTTTTAGGTTTGGTGGGACATTCAGGTCCGTTGGTGTCTAGAGGTCAAAGGGTTTCTGCTTCAAATAGTCTGTTCGTTACAAGTGTCGCATCGCCACTGCCAACGCCACCTCAGGCCATGGCTCGTAGTTTCTCCATACCTTCTAGTAGTGCTCGAGTTGCAGAATTACATGGGTCAAGGGGACGAGAATCCTCTCGCACATCATCTCTATCTGAGGATATCGCTTCTCCTCCGCTGACACCATAGTATTATCTAATAGTCGGCCGTCATCAGATGGCTGAGGCTGTTGCTTTGGATGTTTGGACTAGAGGTAATATTTAAAGCAGGTTTTTGTTATGTACTTGTTCCTACTACTAATTCTTTAAGAAATTAACTTCAAAGATTTATCTTGACTTACTTTTTTTCAGGGATGTACATGTTTTATACCATGCAATGAATCTAGGTTTGGATGGTTGTGCAGATTAATTCCTTTCTATGCCGAAGCTAACACTGTTTCCAAACCGGCGAACAAGCTTAGGATCAAGTTTTGCTTAGTTTCAATAATGTAAATATTTCTTTTACTCAGTATTCATTTATCTGTTGTTATCATTGTTAATTCAACCTTATAATGAGTTTTGGTCTTGTTTTTATTCAAAAAATAAATGCTCATAAGTTCTATTGTTGAAATAGACATTTAAGCAATTGACAGTAACCAATCAATTGTGCTTCAATTTTGCAAGTAATTCAGTTATTTTTAAATTGTGTGGATCCTTCTGGCAAAGAAATCTTGATTTTCAAAAAAAAAATGGAGGATTCAATTACAGTAGTTTTAGGCATATAAATCAAATCTAATCTTGTAAATGTAGTAGTGTTAAAACTGAGAATCTGGCCGTAATTTGCAGTCCTACTCAATCTCTACAATTACATGAAGAGGATACTTCGATAACACGGACAAAGGATATCGAAGCCTTTTTTTTTATTTGCAAAATGGAGGATCCTTAACTATCCTTCAATGACTAATGTTTGTTTGTAAATCAATTTTTTGCAACACTTTTTATGTGAATGTTGTGTTAATTAGTAAATTACAAGTTCCTGTATCAGAAAAGTTGAGGTACCCATTCTTAGTTTTTGAGCTATGAATTTACTTAAATCTCCCAATTAGTAACAAACAAATTTTATTTCATGCTACCTTAATTAAAGTCTTCAACTTTGTGTTCAATTTATATAACATTGTATTGCAAAATCACTCTAGATTAAATACTGCTTGTAAACTATTTTACCTTTTTAAATTCTTTAAATTCTCTTATTATGTGATAATATCATAAAATATAGTAAAAAAATCCAAGCACTTGTAAAAAGAAATGTAATATTCAAATATGATTACTACTCTATGTTACTTTCATTATACATCAAATATATCAATATTACAAGTTGACACTCGAAACCCTCTGTACTAGATTTAAACATGACCAAGGATATCACATGATGGTTGTAGTAGTTTTGCCTGAGGATTGTCAATCTTTCACTAGCAGCTTCCTCCAATATCATCATATCTCACAAATCCCATTAACTCTGGACCTGTAACTCTTGGGTTGTTCTTGAAACTGAAAGAACATAAACAATCAAATCACATAATAATTTTAAGAAACAGTCTTGTTATTAGTTCTACACTCGCGCAATTAGGCTTACCTTTGTTGAGAGAATTTGGACAAGGAGCCATATGTCGGAAAGGTACCACAGAGATCATTGTTAGATAGGTCTCTGCACAAAGAAAATAATCTATTAACTAAATGAAACTAAAAGAGCTAGATGGAATAAAAACAACTGAATAACACTCACAGGATCTTGAGGTTTTTCAATTTAGTGAGTTCCCTTGGTATTCTTCCTGTTAGTTTGTTGTTGTTGAGTCTCCTGCAAGCAGCATCATCATCATCATCATATTCAAATAATATAGGTTGTTCTATGATTATAATTGTTATCAGGAATGAATTGTAATAAAATAACTTACAAGAATTTGATATTAGAAAGGTTGGAGAGGGTGTGAGGTATAGAAGCAGTGAGGTTATTATGGTAAAGACCCAAGCTAATCAGGTTCTTCAAATTTCCAAGTTCCTCTGGTATTGGACCCACCAATTCATTCCTATACAATTCTCTGCAATCAATAATAGTATTCATTAGTCTCGTTAACCTAACTCAGCTGATAGTTGGGCAGAGACTGAGACATCAGATGCAAGTTTCGAACCCGTAACATCTCACTTACAAAAACTGAAGGTGATGGAGGTTCCCTAGTTCAGGTACCAAATGGCCAAACAGTTTTGCATGTCCAAGGTCTCTGCAATGCATAAGATGAAAAACCAAATTAATTACTTACAAGTTTTTGAGCTGAGTTATAATAGTTGAAGAAAATAAGAGGGATTTAGAAAAGATTACAGTTTAGTAACCCTGTTATGAATATCACATGTAACATGAAACCATGTACAAGGATCAACCAAAGTAGGGTCCCAACTCTGTAGAATGTTGTTTGGATCTTTTACACCTCTTCTGAATGCGTACAGGGCATCACCTGTTTGTTTTCATCAAAAGATTCTTTCATCACAAATCATGCATATGGATTATGTGTTTTATATTTGTATTCATCAATCAAAACAAAAAATGAGTTGGTTACCTTCAGAGTTTGCATTGGCTAACAAGAGAATAGTAAAAATGGTAACAAGATGAAAAAGTATGGTTGTCTCCATCAGAGAAAGACTGAAGCTTATAGTTTTATGCATTTGGAATGGAATCACAATTTTGAATTCTGTATAGGAAAATTTATAGTGCCGGTAAATGAACTTTCTTCCACTTTTTGTGTCTCTCACTAATGATTTATAAGAACAAAGATATACATTGACACCGTCAACCAATTACAACCATATTAAATATTAAATTATACGGTTATTTTTAAATGAATTATATGATATATTTAATGATAAATTTTTATTGAATGACAATGCAAGTGCAGTATCTTTTAACTCATTTATGTATATTATTTAAATTTATATTAAGTTAGTTTGGCGGGATAATGAAATTAGCCTTTGTGATTGGACACATAAAAGTGAATAGATGGATTGTTTGTTTGTAGCATAGGTTACTTTCTACTTGATTTGCCAAAATCCATTAGAAATGCATGATAAAAATATGAAAACTCGTCTTTTAATGCATATTAATGGGTCCAATTCCTATACTGGTTGAATTGCATGAGACATGTTGTGTTGTTGTGAGTTAAGTCACTCGACCTCTTTCCTTCTTATGTCTTCTTTTTCGATAGTGGAAAGGACACCAACACCATAAAATATTACCTTTGTAATTCTCTTCATTAAAAGAAGTGATGTTGGACACTTCATACTTTGACCATAAACCACATTACTATTTTCTAAATAATGTTGAACTCTTTTCATTCTTAATCATGATATTACTTGAATCTCAAATATAACCAGCAAAACATACATTTTACTTCATACTAAGACTATGTTTGGTAACACTAATAAAAAAGTTTTTATCTTTTAATTTTTTAGTTTATATTAATAAAAAAGTTATTATATTTGTGTCGATTAATAAGAAAATGTAATATTTAATATTTTTTTTAATAACATTCAAATTACTGTTGGAAATCCAACAAACATCTATGATGAATTTCTATCAATCTTGATGAACAAGATTGACATCACCACACAATGACAATGAATTATGAGAAAAGAAAAGAAAGAAGACAATTATTTTTTGCAGAGTTTCTCTCTGCCTACAAGCTGTGGAAAATTTTATTAATCACTTGCAACCGTAAATTCTGTGATTACCACGAATTGACTTAATTACAAAATTAGGGGTTACTCCATCTATTTATAGATTTAGGTTAGCTTGCTCCCTAAGCCAAAACCCAAAACTATAAAAGCTCAAAATACTTATTTTGGTACTAAATCAAATCAATCTATTTTAGATCTAAATCAAATTTATCTAAATCTAAAATCAATCAAATATGTGTGTAGCTTGCTTCGATCCACAAACTCTTCGACTGAGCAACCTCCCTTCGATACGCACACTGTTTCGACACAATCGAATTACAATTTAACACACCACCTAATTCATTATGTCTAAACTATCTATATTCATCATAGTTCTTAGTCTTCTGAATACTTCGACCTGCACTCCCTTCGTCATGATGTCTGCAATCTGATTATCAGTTCTGCAGTGTTCTAAATTTATCTTCCCATTTGCTACCTGCTCTCGAAGATAGTGGAACTTTATTTCGATGTGCTTGCTTCAACCATGTGCTATCGGGTTCTTCGCCAGATTAATAGCTGACATGTTGTCGATCTTCATGGTAATTACTCCATGATCTTTCCTTGTTATCTCTTCGATCAAGTTCACCATCCAAGTTGCTTGACATGCACAAAGAGAAGCAGCTATGTATTCTGCTTCACATGATGATAATGTCACTACTGATTCCTTTCTTGAACTCCAAACAACTGGTTCACCACCTAACATAAACACATATCCTGCTGTTGATTTTCGATCTTCAGCATCACTACACCAACTCGAATTAGTGTATCCCACTAACTTACATTCTTTTCCTTTATTAGCTGCAGGAAACAAAATGCCATAGTCGAGAGTTCCTTTGAGATACCTTAGTATCCTATTCACCGTTGCTAGATGTGATACCTTTGACTTCTGCATAAATCTACTCACCATACCTACACTATATGCTAAGTCAGGCCTTGTATGACAAATGTATCTCAATGACCAATAAGTCTTCTGTATTGGGTGGGTCGACATCATCTTCATCTGCATCTTTCGACAGTTGCAGTCTTGGTTCTGCAGGTGTCGAAGTTGAGTTGCATTCTTCCATCTCAAATCTCTTGAGAATTTCTCTTGCATATCTTCTTTGATGCATCATCAAACCTCTACTTCTCTTGTATAATTCAATGCCAAGGAAATATGAAATCTCACCCAGATCAGACATTTCAAATTCCTTGCTGAGATCACATTTGAAGTCTTCGATCTCACTTTTCCAGCTACCTGTTATAAAAAAATCATCGACATAGAGACATAGTATAAGCAATTCACTATTACTTCTTCTTACATATACTCCATATTCAGTTGTGCATTTCACAAATTCCTTCTCCCTTAGGAAGCTATCAATTTTCTTATTCCAAGCTCTTGGAGCTTGTTTCAATCCATACATGGTTTTATGCAGCCTGTACACCTTTCTCTCTTCGTCATGTTTCACAAATCTAACTGGTTGTTTAACATAAACTTCTTCGTCTAAGGGTCCATTAAGGAATGCATACTTCACGTCCATCTGACACATGTGCCATCTGTTTATTTCTGCTAGACCAACAATCAACCTGATTGTTTCGATCTTAGAAACATGTGCAAAAACTTCATCAAAGTCTATTCCTTCTTTCTGTAGAAATCCTTTCACCACAAGCCTTGTTTTGTGTCGAGTTACTCCCCCTTTGGAATTCATTTTCAATTTGTATACCCACTTGACATTAATTGCCTTCTTGCCTTGAGGAAATTCGACAAGTGACCAAGTATTGTTGTCTTTGATAGACTTCACTTCTTCGTTCATTGCTTTCACCCACTTCGAATCCTTCAATGCTTCAGCTGCATTGACAGGTCCGACATCTGCATAGAAAGAATAATGTACCAACTCACTTTCATTATCTATTACATCATCTGATGTAATCACACAATCTTGCAACCTTGCAGGCATGCGTCTTGTTCTTTGAGGTTTGCTTGTACTTGGTTGATCCATAACTGCTGATTCCTCTTATCGAACTTCTCTTTCGACTTGAGTTTCTGGTTCTTCAAGTAGGATTTCCACTGAATCTTTCTTGACATTTTCAGTCCAATCCCATTCTTTAAGCTCATCTATAATCACGTCCATGCTGATCACAATCTGCTTGTTCACTGGTTCGAACAACTTGTAACCTCCCATCGAATGACATCAAACTAGAATCATT